ATTGAGCTTGATAATATTCATGCAACAAACTAATAACAGAAAATGGTAAAGTATCGAGTCAGTTATATAATATTATACATGCAATGCACGAAACGGGCGCATTTCACTCGAAGTGGCTAAATTTTATCAAAACTACACTAAATGATCTAGGGTTGACATATATCTGGACATCTCAAAAAGTGACTACTCTAGAACGACAAAAACTTAAACATATTATAACACAAACGCTTAATGACCAGTTTATTCAAAAGTGGTATGCCGATATCGAAAAAAGTAGTAGAGGACAAAATTATCTATTATTTAAATCTAATTTTGGTTTTGAAAATTACTTAACTCAATTAAACAAGAGGGATCGTGTTGTGTTTTGCAAATTTCGCTCGTCAAACTTTCCGCTGCCCCTGGAAACTGGCCGTTGGATGGGAATTCCTCGAGAGGAAAGAGAATGTACTTTTTGTAATAGAAATGAAACAGGAGATGAATTTCATTATTTGTTTAAATGTCAACAAGAATCCATACGCCAGATTAGGGAAAAATTTATTCCAAAATATTATTACACCAATCCAAATGTTGATAAAATGAAAGGAATGTTCACAATATGTAACAAACAATTAATCAAAAGGGTTAGTACATTTCTTGTAAAACTGCAAATAATTATAAAAAAATAACAATTGAAATAAATCAGTATGTCAATAATACTATACTTTGCATTATGATTATGGCAGTGAAGATAATTTGCTGTGAAAATTGAGTATCCAATACACATATGACTAATGCTGATAAATCTGGTCATATATATTCTTCTGTGTCACATGCATGAACTAATGCGGAATCTGTTCATGTGTAATCTACTCTCACTCGTGTGAACTAATGCTGAATCTGTTCACATGTAATCTTCATGTGTGAAATAATGCTAAATCTGTCCTTGTATAATACTACTGTTTCACATGTATGAAATGAGGACTGTTTCACATGTATGAAATAATTATGTGTAAACTTACTGTTTCACATGTAAGAAAATAATGTTGAATCTGTCAAGTATAACCTTACTGATACTTTGAAACAATACATCTGATACATATGTACATCAAACAATGTGAAATATTGCTGAATCTATCTATGAAATATTGCTGAATCTATCTAAGAAATATTGCTGAATCTATCTATGAAATATTGCTGAATCTATGAAATATTGCTGAATCTGTCTATGAAATAATGCTGAATACATCTATGAAATGATGCTGAATCTATCTATGAAATATTGCTGAATCTTCCTATGAAATAATGCTGAATCTGTCCATGAAATAATGCTTAATCTGTTCATGAAATAATGCTTAATCTGTCCATGTGTAATCTACTCTCTCTGTCATGTTTTATTTTGATTGATGTTATTTTGTTTGACCTCTTGTTACACACTTTGTGTGTCAGAGCGTAATAAAAAAATTCTTGAATTCTTGAACAAATTATTTTTAAAATGAGCTCTTTATTTGTTTCGATATGACAATACATCGAGATACCACAATAAAATTACATAACCGTTTTGCAATATATCTGATACACTTGGGGTATATGCGTTGGAACATTGCTGCCATGCATTCAGGCGTGGTAATATTTGACCTGTTAGACATGTACACGTACGTTGTGAATAAAGTGTAATAAAAAACACATTCTTGTCAAAAACCAGATCTTTTTGGTTAATCTTTTGTTACCTGACTTATTTCCGTACCAGTTCAACTGCAAGGGTTTGAAAACGAGATTTTTTTCCATTCAGATTAGCTTTTTCCATATTAATTTGATTTTAAGGGTGTGTGCACAGATCCATACAGTTTTACCTATGTTCTGTCCACCGATTGAAAATATGTATCGGAATGTATATGAGAACATATTGCGCTCTCGTTGCTTGCCAGAAGTTTCAGACTTACTTTAAACTTTACTTGATTTTGTTACATTTATATTATATATATACCGTCCTCTTTGTAAACTATGCATTACATGTGATAGAAATGTGTGCCTCTACCGAAAATATGTATGTCGGCAACAGGAGATATCATATCTGTGCCATCATTGGTTTTACATCTGGTTTTTGTTTTCATATTAACTTGTTTACAGATCTAACAGCAAAATCAATGTCGTCTCTCGGTATTATTGTATGTGACAGTGACAGTAAGTTTTGGTTATAGTAGAAGGAGTCAGCTGTGATAGACGTGGAGACAATGTCGACTCTCGGTATTATTGTATGTGACAGTCTGACAGTAAGTTTTGGTTATAGTAGAAGGAGTCAGCTGTGATAGACGTGGAGTCTGTGTCAGTGACAGTAAGTTTTGGTTATAGTAGAAGGAGTCAGCTGTGATAGACGTGGAGACAATGTCGACTCTCGGTAGTATTGTATGTGTCAGTGACAGTCTGACAGTAAGTTTTGGTTATAGTAGAAGGAGTCAGCTGTGATAGACGTGGAGTCAATGTCGACTCTCGGTATTATTTTATGTGTCAGTGACAGTAAGTTTTGGTTATAGTAGGAGTCAGCTGTGATAGACGTGGAGAAAAAGAAGTTTCCTTCATAACAAAAAAACAAAATTCGTGTTTTCATTGGGTTTAATAATGTTAAAAATGATAAAACAAAATGTCATTCTAAATTCTTTTCATCATAGGATGTCTTTATGTGAAATGAAGTCTGCTGGTTTTCTCCAATCTTGATCAAAAATAAGTATTTTTTACCTATACTTAAAATAAATGTTCTGTCTACAAGCCATAAATAAGTATTTTTACTTAAAATAAATATTCTATCTACAAGCCATAAATAAGTATTTTTCCATGCTTAAAATAAATATTCTATCTACAAGCCTCTTCCAATTAGACTCCCTCTCGATAAAACCAAACAATGATCATCCAACTATCGGAGTTAACACAATTTCTTTCAATTGGATTGGCAATAACAGGGTGTTCAACATAACCTTAACGACAAGCATCAGAAAGTCGTCGTTGTCAAAGTAAACAATTGACCGACATTTAGAGTCCTCACACTAACAAAATACCCGATTGTCATGACGTGGTACTTAATGATTGGTATCCAGAAGTATTTAGCGAGTGTCCTTGGTTGATACCTCTCAATCATTCTTGGTGTCTGATCATCCATACTTGGTGCCCGATTTCCATGGTTCCACCCCTGATCGTCCTTAATAAGTTAACATTGGCCTTACTTGGTACCTATTGGGTTTACTTGGTACCTATTGGCCTTGATTGGTACTTATTGGCCTTGCTTTGCACCTATTGACCTTGCTTGGTACCTATTTGCCTTGATTGGTACCTATTGGCCTTGCTTTTCACCTATTGGCCTTGATCGATACCTATTGACCTTGCTTGGTTCCTATTGGCCTTGTTTGGTACCTATTGGCCTTGCTTGGAACCTATTGGCCTTGATTGATACCTATTGACCTTGCTTGGTTCCTATTGGCCTTTTTTGGTACCTATTGGCCTTGCTTGGTACATAATTGTCATTGCTTGGTACATGATTTCAATTCTCGGTACCTTGTTCTCGTTGCTTCGTACCTGAATGTCTGTCCTACATCGCTTGTTTGCTATGATTTAAAACCCCATCGACATGATAAGGTTATTTAGGGTTATTTCACGGTAAAATGACAATACGGGCGGCAACCAAATGCGGGCTAGTGCAGAAAAGAAAGCGGTCGGACCAAAAAAATAAAAATGTCGAGCATTTTAGGGGGTTCTTAAGCTACGTTATGGTTGGGTTTGGCCTCTTCTTTTCCCTGGTTTCACAGACACCTCGATATTAATTATCCGTAATTGGTTTCCAGTTATCCTTCATTGCCTCCGGGTTGTTCCTACTTAATGCTCCCTTATTATCCTAACTGTCTGCCCATATATGCCTGAATATGTTTTACCATATGCCTTCAGTAGTGTTTTGGTGCAGCTTCTTTGCTTGGCTGAAATTGCATAAAATGAATGGTTTTGTAATTGTACACATGGGTCCCCTCAAAAGACATATCGACATTCGAGCCGACAACTCACTTAATGATAAATAACACGAATGAACATCTGTACTGATTACCTATGTTTTAGACGCGGGGATATCCTGTTAGATGTTTTCTCCTATCGATCGAGACGACATCTAGTGCATGTTTTATATATCGACGTGAGGTCGGGGCGATGCACTCATGTTTCACAGCATATAAACTTGGACACATACGACGTTCGATTATTTGTGTCAGTAGTCTAATGATAAATGAGAGATCGCGCTGACTCATCACTCTGTATCCCTATATCAGTCTTGTGCCAGCCATTGGTCATTGTAAATAGCAAAATATTGGGCAACTGCATCCACGACAGCCATTCGTAATAGCGGTCTGCGGCGATCGACAGAGCTGTGTTATCGGGAGGAAAAGGACCTAGGAACAGGTATGTTTGGCATTTACTTCAGGTGATAATTGATTTGAGGATGACTGGTGGTACCTTATAAACCAAAGTTTCAATCAAGATATTTTTTGTTGGGGTAAAGCAAAACAACGGTGCAATGCTCGTTGGCAAATGTCTATACATATGCTGTACATCGTATCTTTGCCGATCTCTTTAGTGGTTCGAATGTAACCTACGCAGTATTTTGACGAAAGATTTTGAACTTCACTTGTAAAAATTCGCAAGTATAATCCAGTTCAAAATAGATATGCAATGAAACTGTAAACCGGAAGTAGCTAGATAAATCGAGTTTATGGCGGTGTAGAATAATAAGTCATGTATCAAAAGTATCATTACGTGATGTGAAATGACAAATGCATGCCAACATGTTAGGAAAAACCTAAGTGTTAGGTCAATTAAAGTAGTAGCTGTGTGCTGTTTTTGACCGTAATGGTATGCAAGTTATTCACTTCCGCTTCGCATATGTCACTTGATTCCTTGATGCAGCTGCATATATATATTGTATTGTAAGTCTTGCTATTAGTGTTAGGTGTGGTGCAGGTGAATGGAGTCCGACAACCTTGATGTGTATTGCACTACGCGCAACCCTGCATGCACATGTACACTGTATAATTGTATTATAACTGCATACAGTGTTGATGAATTGATCTTCACTGTGTATTGACATAAACACAATGATGTCACTGTTGATGTTAGAAGACAACTATTGAGCGCTTTGTAGTTATGATAACTGTATTTGCGCGGATGATTCTCCAAGCTCTGTTCCTCTGTGCCTGCGTTCAGGTGAAGTCCATGCAAATCGGAATTGGTCATTTCCGATGTGCTCATATCTAAATTTCGGAAAAAGCAGCATTTCGCTGAAATTGGGTTTACCTTGGAAATATTTTCAAAAAGTACTAAAACGTAATATGTGTATCGTTTGACCATATGGTGAAGCCTTAATTGTGCAAATCCTGACAGCGTGCTTTTCACGAACATATTGACAAGAGTGTTACTAACTGACCAACTATTAATCACATTGAGGTATACAACAAACAGCATTAGGGATTTTTCTCCAGTATTAGAGGAGGTTACAGGTTAAATACGGTGCGGATTTACATGTTCAAGAACCTCCGAGTGGCCTTGAACGACGTAAACCACAGCGCGTGATACTTGTTGTAAAAATGTATATAGCGTGTTGATTCCTGCGGTCGGCTGGCACACACGGCAATGCTGTAGAACCAGACGCTGGAGAAAGGGTTCCCGTGCTTGGTATCTGATACAAAGGTATAGTTATAGGCAGTGCGAGTTTTACATACTTGTCTTGTGGCAAGGGACATTTGACTTGTTGGGTCATTCTCATTCATTGTAATCATGCAAGTCTTTTGATTGACGGAACACCAGCTAGGTAGTCCAGGTTGATTTTGCCTTTTTTATTCAATTATTTATACATTAATTTTGGATAGAATACGAGAGTAAGGACAAGCTATAGGAACGTTTTGAAAGCGTTGAAATTAAGTGGTATTTTGATTCCATACATTTATAAAGTAATATTTTGATGTATTTTTTAAAAACCTTCTATGTGGCATGCACTGGACACTTCCGATTGGTTTTGGCCTTTATAGAGACTTTTAAGGGCTGCGATGAATTCTTCAATGGGCATGCAATGCGCTGCGTTATTGCGTGGTTTCTAACCTTCCAAGTTCCAACAACCATGCTCAGCTACTTTTAGTGCTTTGAAATTTTGGAGGGCTAGGAAATACCATATTGATGCGTGGTTCCTATTTTCTATTGTTTGCCAATGTAGATGCAGTAAGCAAGCACTACTTGGTGATTTTTGATAGGCCAGTAGTATACTATATATATTTGATACGTAGTTTGTATAGCCCTCTGTGACATATACAGGGAGTCGCATCGGTACGTCGCTTCTATGGGCTTCCGGTAGGCTAACAGTGTAATAAGTTGGTGTGTGACTGTCTTGTACCACTTGGTACGTCGCTTCTATGGGCTTCCGGTAGGCTAACGGTGTAGCACGTTGGTGTGGACTGTCGTGCATCACTTTGTAGGCGCCTTAGTCTCACAAAGGCTCATGTAAAGTAGGCTGGTGCATTAATTTGAAAATGTTTTAGCGAACATGAACATATAGTAGTATATGACTTTTAATGAAGTTCAAATGTAGAGTGCAACTTTGGTGGTATGTTTTTCAAAGAATTTCTATAGGGCATGTTGTGTTAAGCTTTGGTGGTATGTGTTGTGTTAAGCTTTGGTGGTATGTGTCGTGTGAAGCTTTGGTGGTATGTGTCGTGTGAAGCTTTGGTGGTATGTGTTGTGTGAAGCTTTGTTGTGTTTGTAGAGCATGTTATACTTTGGAGCGTGACGTCGAAAGCTAAATTACTTGAACATGAATTGTTCCACTCTAAATGCATTGTTCACGTGCTAGTTAGTGCCCTCAAATAAAATAAATATTCATTTATCAATATGCTTTTAAGTTTTAGACATATAAAATATGTTCAATAATATTTTGGTTCTTGTCATTGTCCATATATTGACAAAGTGCTTACGTGCTTAACTCGGCCATATTGGTTGTGGTTACCGAGTGGTTATAGCCGGAAGTTGATGTTCCGGAGGAAGTTTCCGTGTACGTCAGCTGGACACTCCAATGCATTTCAGCAATATGACATGTTTAAGACAGGGTTCACACCGCTTTTCGTCCGTGTTCTAGCGTCCGTCAGCAGTCCCCGGCAAATGTTACTTTTACTTCTCAGAAACTACTATATAACGGGATAATGATGAAACTTGGTATGCATGATCCCCTTCGTCAATAGTTGAGCATGCTCTAATTTGAGAAGAACCACAAGTAGCAAAATGACCAGCAGAGTGAGCAGACAGACATCTTGGATTTTGCGAGTCAAAATTATTATTCCGGGGGTTCTACTTTTTCTCAGGATCTAATCACGGATCATGATAGAAATATATGTGATCCCCTTACTCCCTACTCCCTAGTGGTGCCTCTTTTGAATTAAAAAGAAGTGGCCGCTAGACCATCTTGGATTTAGAAATAGATATTGTATGCTTACTTTATTTTTAGGTCACCTGAGCTTTAGCTCAAGTGACCTATTGCTATCCGTTTTCGTCCGTCGTCGTCCGTCGTCCGTCGTCCGTCGTCCGTCGTCCGTTAACATTTTACATTTCAAACTTAAAGTCAAGTTCTGCTGGGCCGATTGAACTGAAAGTTGGTAGGAATGATCGCCTCATGGTCCTGACAAAGTGTTGTTATTTTTCGGGTCGATCAGAAATCCAATATGGCCGCCACGGCCGCCATTTTGAAAACCTATTTCAAACTTAAAGTCAAGTTCTGCTGGACCGATTGAACTGAAAGTTGGTAGGAATGATCGCCTCATGGTCCTGACAAAGTGTTGTTATTTTTCGGGTCGATCAGAAATCCAATATGGCCGCCACGGCCGCCATTTTGAAAACCTATTTCAAACTTAAAGTCAAGTTCTGCTGGACCGATTGAACTGAAAGTTGGTAGGAATGATCGCCTCATGGTCCTGACAAAGTGTTGTTATTTTTCGGGTCGATCAGAAATCCAATATGGCCGCCACGGCCGCCATTTTGAAAACCTATTTCAAACTTAAAGTCAAGTTCTGCTGGACCGATTGAACTGAAAGTTGGTAGGAATGATCGCCTCATGGTCCTGACAAAGTGTTGTTATTTTTCGGGTCGATCAGAAATCCAATATGGCCGCCACGGCCGCCATTTTGAAAACCTATTTCAAACTTAAAGTCAAGTTCTGCTGGACCGATTGAACTGAAAGTTGGTAGGAATGATCGCCTCATGGTCCTGACAAAGTGTTGTTATTTTTCGGGTCGATCAGAAATCCAATATGGCCGCCACGGCCGCCATTTTGAAAACCTATTTCAAACTTAAAGTCAAGTTCTGCTGGACCGATTGAACTTAAAGTTTGTAGGAATGATCGACTCATGGTCCTGACAAAGTGTTGTTATTTTTCAGGTCAATCATAAATCCAATATGGCCGCCACGGCCACCATTTTGAAAACATATTTCAAACTTAAAGTCAAGTTCTGCTAGGCCGATTGAACTGAAACTTTGTAGGAATGATTGACTCATGGTCCTGACAAAGTGTTGTTATTTTTCGGGTCGATCAGAAATCCAATATGGCCACCACGGCTGCCATTTTGGTAAACTATTTCAAACTTAAAGTAAAGATCTACTTGGCCGATTGAACTGAAACTTTGTAGGAATGATCGAATCATGGTCCTGACAAAGTGTTGTTATTTTTCGGGTCAATCAGAAATACAATTTGGCTGCCATGGCCGCTATTTTGCTACTAAGTTCTAATAGGCCGATCTCACTTAAAATTGGTCTAGGAATGATCAGCTCATGGTCCTGACAAAGTTAAGTTAACATTATACTATTTTTTACTCAAATTGGTACATATTTCAACAACAAAAATAAATATTGTAGGACTCAGGTGACCGTTTAGGCCCATGGGCCTCTTGTTGATATGTTCAGGACAGTACTGAAGGGATCATGATAACACTTTGTATGATCCCCTTTGTCCCTTGTTGTGTATGATCTAGTGTGAGACTGTCCAGCATAAAACGGACCCCTCATTATTACAACATGGCTGGCATGAATCCTTTGCTACCCGTTCCAGAAAATCGGATGGTACAGTTAAAAGCGCACTCGCCTTCCATCAGGACACTGGGTTCGATTCCCAGGTTGTAGTGACAATGTAAAGGGTCATTCGCCCGACCAAGTAGGTTTTCTCCTGCCCATGGGTACCCCGGTTCCCTCCCAAATTAAGATATCATATGCGTAGTCACTTTAATGTTATAATCCCAAAACTAAGTCTGAATCTGGGTATTGTTGTTCTGGTACTAGCCTTTATAATTTGTCTTTCCTAATAGTTTTTATAACCTTTATTTAATATCCATTAATTTTCATATCTAGTAAATAGTTTCACATTTGATTCCTTTTATTCGTCAGAGATGTTATGAATAATTAACCGTGTCCGTGTCTGTCTGTCCGCCTGTCTGTCTTTATCTGTCTGCAATGAAAAAACATGTTACGATAAGGAGGTTAATTCATATATCTGACGTCATTGGTTGATGTAACTATTCCGACATTGAAGGTAAATTTGAATATGTAAATATTATAATTTACACACATTATTCATTACTGAATGTTGTACAGTGATTTATTGGAGGAATATGTAGTCTGTAGATATGTCCATCACGTTCTAGACCTTTCAGCTAGCACTCGCTGCCTGTGTAACAAGTGTGTATTCGTAATAATAAAAAGATAGGGAAGCACATTTTTTTTAACATAAATAACTATTTTGATTTCCTTATAACAATGTCCTACCCAACTTTGTGGAGGGAATATTCATTGTTATATATTCACGCGAATTTCAACAGTTGTGTCAAAATCTTAATCTGAAGAGATTAACACACATACAAGAGGAAGTGCAACCAGGTCGAAATGTGGGGAAAGACGATAGTGGGTCCAAATTTGATTGATTGATTGATTGATTGAATGACTAATTGATTGCATCACCATGTCAAATATCGATCACCGGCATTCTAATACAAATACTAAAGTTATAGTTATCGAAATTAGCGAAGTCCACTTCAACCAACGCAAGATTAACTTTTTGAGTAGGCGAGTTAAAAAGTGTGATGTTAACAAATCCTCAAGTACCAATACTGCAGTTAGGAAAAGAGATCTCTCCGTTTTGAATAATAAAAAAAGGAAGGTACTATGAATAAAATGTAAATAGGGAAACACATATCTGCATTTTGTGTATTACAGTGTTTATAAATATAGCATACTTAAATATTGATAATTGAATACAATCAGAATATCTAGTTAACAGTAATTTATGCATCCCGTATTAACATATAATTACGCGACATTTATAAATGATATGGGCTAACATACGATACTCAATTAACGCCGAGTTCATTTTTTAGCTCCTTATCGGGTCAAACAAATATAAACCTGTAGGTGAGAGACAATGACATGCCAGGAGTAGCCACTATCCGCACTCCTTCTCCGCAAATTTTCACGTTGGAGTTCTCGTTGAATAGATCATGCAATTAGGCCAGCTATATTTTGGAATATGGAACAATATATATACATCAATTGATTTAATGTTTAAATTATACTTTTAATGGCCGTCTTCTATTTAATTGAGAATAATATCACGTATTATAGTACTCGAAAAAAGGTACTTGTTACCACGGAAGTCTATTTAAGGCCGTGATGTAACCACTGAATTACCTAAGTCCGTGATGTAAAAATTAAAATTGCAAACAATAGGCCTATTACAAACTAGCTTGTGGTAGGGCATGCATATACATATAGAACTTAATTGCCTTTTGGGTTCGTTTAGTTATGGTTTCAGTCCAAGTGCAATTTGTGCATGAAAGTGCCAAGTTTACAAGGTGCAACCCAGTAGACATGCATGTGTGTTTTAATCAGTGAAGTATTTACCGTGATGCAATTAAATTAAATCCAGATCGAGTGATCACAACAAAATCAGTTTCAAGATTTGATATTGTGAATTAAGATAGTTTAAAGGCCTGCAGTAATTCTCCGATACGATATATAGGAGGCAGGACTTCGCTGATTTCAAACAATAAGTCTAACAAGCATGCCACTGTCAGCTGTTTTTCGAACGTACACACGTGTGACAGATTCGACCTTCACGAGGGGCTTTCCACTTGTCTAGCAGCTGATCACATGATCAACAACTCTCGCAATGAGAACCAAGGCTGTTGATTGGCTCCACGGATGTAGTAGGTCTTGTTTGATTGGATAATCACACATTGACCTGAAAATTATGAACGACCTTGACCGGTTTGGAACGGTATAGGTACAATGGGGGATAGGTTTACTGCTGTCTAATGTTGAGGAAGGTTGGGAAAAGCAGTTTTCCAGGATATTTGTGAATGGAAGGTGGTCAGATTTTGTGTTGTTCAGAAGCGTTACATAACGGTGAGTTGTATATTACGCCATTTATTTCATTTTGAAAGCGAACAGCTCCGTCAAGTTGCACGCCGTTGAACTGTTGTCGCGAGATGTGAATCGGTCAACTCATTATTTTTATCCGAAGCGTATATCTTTATTGTTATCCTGAAAAATACTTATAAACTGCTGTCACTTTGCATGTTACCTGCTTCAGCTGGTAGCGTCGCTTTGACTTTGAGTAAAAAAATCTACCTCTATAACTGCTACAGAAAGATATTCAATTTTTTTTCAGAAGTTTACAAATAAGACTTGTGTTCTAGCCCGAGTAGCCTATAGGTATACTAAACCACGGAATGGTGCAATACGGAAAAAGATAACCGTATGGAAGAAAACAGAATAGTTTATAATAAAGAAAAAGACCATCCCATCTGCCTCTCCAACTTGTAGTTTGGATTGGTGAAAACTAGCTGCGATAACGTAGCTTTCTGACGACGAGATATTTAGGCCGGGTATTTGATATTAGTACTAGGTGAAAACCTACCTGGTAAATCTTGTTAAAATAATATCTAGCCACTTTTCACACAAGGTACTGTTTTTCACACTGATAACTTGTACAAGATGCTGTATATAATAAAATTATCCCAGTAACCAGAACTACCTTTTGGGTTTGACTCACAGATGACTGCGGTTATTCACTATTCACAGACACTAATCAGATAAAAAGATTTGTTTTGTCATGATTTTGTCTGCAGCTGCTGTTCAGTTTGAGTTTTCACGAAGCAAATTAATACCACGTAATGATGAGTATTGTTTTGCATAAAATATAATATGTATATATATAGGAATAGGGGGATGGGTCAAGGAAGTAATATAGACGGTAAAATCCCATATAACACTGGATCCTAATGGAGGTATAGGGGGAGATATATATACATGTATAAAGTACTTAAATAGGTAATATACGCAATACCAACAGTGCTCCCATTAAAAGCTGTTTGCCACAAAGGATTTGCAATTTTTGTTTCGAAATATGTATGTATAGCTTAGCATTATATAGCATTTATTCAGCTGTTCAAGTCAAACGAGTTAATGAGAACACTGACCACACTGTTCTCCCAGACAGTGCACAAGTGTCACAGGAGCTTTTAGCCTATGATCATGCACTTCTCTGTGCAACATAATTATAATAATTTGTTATAACACTTGCAGAAGTCATAAAAGAAAACATCAAACACCATTGTCAGCATTGATTTAACTTTATGCAGCTATTTAATACTTGTAACTGTCACAGTCATGTCATCACCCTTTATATTTAAGCTCCCAGCAGGGAACTATTTAAAAGTTGATAAAAATGATGTTATCAAAGATAATTTTTATTTCACATGTAAATAATGTCATTTGTTTTACTGTTGTATATTTCAGAAACACTAATGCTGAAGTCAATGCCACCTGGTGCTAGTTACCTGCTGAAAACCATGCCGGTTGATCTGTCGGCATATTTGCTATCCTCCAGTCCGCCAGCTTCAAGCTTTGAGTTCCTGAACTCGGCCTTTGCTCTAAGAGGAGATTCATGGAATCGGGGGTGTGGTTTTGCATCCAAAACTGAAGACTTCACAAAATGTGAAGATCCGTCTACTGATCGTAATGAATTTGCTGAAAGTAAAGAGCCTCTCAAACCAATTATTAACCATTACAACAGTTTTTGTAGTGAACAGGAGGATGAGCCAGATGTGTGCGACTCATGTAGTTCCTCAAGGTCAGAGTCTCCATCACCAGGAAAGACGAAGAAAAAGGTCTCGTTTGCCGACCATAAAGGACTTGCTTTAGCTACAGTGAAAATCATGACGGAGCCCTCACATATGCCACCTCGTTTGCGACCGGAAATTATCTCGTCCCTCACACAGGGGGCAACGGCAGGTGTGACGGAACAACCCCCGCTGGTTCTACAGTTTCAGCAGCCAGCATCGGACTACCTTGCATTCAGAGCTCGATTAGAGCACAACAGATTGTCTCTGGAAAATGTGATCCTAAGGGATTACACTGTTCTTGGGACTGTAAAAGTGAAAAACATTTCGTTTGAAAAGAATGTGTTTGTGAGGTGCACATTTGACTCCTGGGAAACGTCTGAAGATATTGTTGCAACTTACGTGCCTAATTCTTCCAAACAAAGTGGCAACATTTTCGATACTTTTTCTTTTGAAATTGAAGTACCTACCAATTTTGATAGGAGTAAAAGCATTCAGTTTGCTGTGTGTTTTGATGCGAAACACCAGCAGTTTTGGGATAGTAATGATGGTATCAATTATGGAATAGTATCTGCAAACTTTGAGAGTTTAGATGATAGCTCTATTCCTCGTCGTAACCAGCAAAAAGGTGATATTTTACAGAATGTTGTCGCCTGGACTAAGTTTGCCTGTTGGAACAGAGTCGACACAACTGTGCCATACTGGTGAATAGTTTTACCATCCCAGTTGGTAAGGAAATAAAGGAAATGTGATAAAGAACAACCAAATATGCACATGCTTTACACATGTGATGGTTGCTTGATCGTATGTGCAATGTTCCGCGTCACAGTGCACACTTACCTATATATGTATTTATGTAGGTGGTGGTTGGAAACAGAATGTTGGTGCATCCTCATATTGGTTTATGTTGATTGTACAAGGTTGACCATGCTAGAAACATGAAGGTTAGGGTCAGGTCCTGTATAAGTACATACTTAAACCTGCACTATACTTTTTCTATAGACATTGTTACTACTTTAGCGATTATTCGTGAATTTTGAAGCAAAATCATACATATATAGCATGCATGCATGCCTTGAATCCAGAGTACATGTGATTTCCATCACGAAAGTGAGCAATAAAGATATTTTGTAGTGTACACATGTCTGTAGGTGTTTATAAAGGGAAATTATTTCTCCTTTATTAAATGGATAAAAAGAAAAACCAAATGTACTTTTTTGTATTGAATTTCATTGATTTAAGATCATCCAAACTCGTTAAATGCTATCACACTCCCTGAATGTTATGCACAAATATTTTGAATTTTTATTCATTACATAGTGCTAAATATAGAAATGACAATGCTCGATTTTGGCTCCCCTTGCAGCCATGCTGTGCTTTGTACATTTAAATTTGTTGACTTGATTGATGGCATTGACTGATACTATTGATCTAAAATTTAAAAAAAGCCTTCTTGAAATAATAGTTTTTTGACTAATCAAGTTCTCTATACATTTATCCAACAGGATAAACAACACAAAATACAGAAATGTATTTCACTGCGACAGAGGCACTGCGACTGATTTATTAAACAAATCATTTTCATACACAACAATGCGTGTTATGGACATAAAGCATGAATGCACCTACAAAAAAAAGGATTGCATTAAATTATAGATTTATCATAAACTTTGTCTGTTTCAGATTAATCCCCATATCACTGATTACCAATATATGTATATCAGATATAAAATTAATCTAATTGTAAATTCTATTTCTGCCAAAACTCGCTCCCAATATTTTAATTATGTAAAAATTAACTTTCGCGTCTACCTGCCGCTACCCGTGTCGGCTGAATGACATGTACACGTACAGGTAACACGCGGTTGGGATTTGCACGTGCAAATCACAGATCATCACGCCACCTATTGGCACTGCATAACACAAGAAAATAATTTCACCCTAACTCCTACCTGTCAAACGGTTGAAATTATATATATTGGGTCAATTTTGGCGTGGTCGAAGGGAGGTAACTCTGAAAGAGGCATTGTAAATATCAAAAATAGATGTATTAAAGTTATAATCAGAAGAAAGAATGTATTATGTTATTTCAAATTAACACAGAACATGTACCTGTCATATGTTTTAGGTATAGCAGCACAAGGTGCATTTGTGTAATATTATTGTGATTTGAAAATGAAATCAGGATTGGTTGATTAATAGGGTCAGTATCAAGGTATCTCCATTTTCTCAAGGAGAGTTTGTTGATAATTTGTTCATGTGAATTAAAATGGCATTTGACATTGTAGTTATTGATATATAAGGTTGTGATATACAATAATGTAACTTTTCTTTCACTTGTGCCATATATATGTACATGTATGTACACTGGTCCATTTCTCACCTTTATTATGTACATATACATTGTACAATTTATTATTGATTGGTACATGTATACAATACATGGGAAGTACAAACCCTCCTCAGCTCAGATGGGTCTTTTTTTGTCATGTAATCTAAAGGAATGATCATATTGGTTAAGATTGGACACTAAAAACAGGAATGCTTAGTTGAACTCGAATTTGTTGATTAAGACAATATAGTTATAATAGTTTCCCTGATGAAATACTCTACACTTTCTGTATTATAATGCCATTGATGCAGATGATCTCTTCATGTTTTGCAGTATTAATAAAAAATATAATTCAAATACATACACGACTCAAAGCTCTTTTACCTTTAAATTAGTGAGCTCACAGGTTAGAGTTCAGAGAAAGACATCTACACCTGATGAAGATTATTTTGTAACGTGCACGAATGCTGCATATATGCATTACATAATACAAAAGAGCACACACACAGGTTTGTAGACAATGTACTTGATTTAAAAAGTAAACCAAATCAATAGAGAGATTGATTCTTGCTCTAGTCATGTGACGCTGCTTTTGTCTCTAGTATTTTAGGATTCATTTCATTATGATTTACTGGAAAAAAACCTATATCATACGCCAGCACAGGATGCATATTAGAATGATCATGTGAGGATAATAAAGCATGCTTTAATCATGTGTTACTACTATTACAACTGGAAGTAACCAGGAATCTCCGTAGATGTGTGGAATTTGAATTTAATGTGCGAAATTTGAATATTTTTAACTTTGTGTGGTCTATATAATTTTGTACAAATACAAGAATATGCATGGAAATTGTACCATGTGAGTTGTAATTATTGTATTCATCTTTTGGTTTTCGTTATTGTATAAATTGTTTTAAACACATTTATATTAAATTGTTTAAAACACATTTAAAAAATTGAACAGAAAAATTACTTGTTTTTTCCTATATTCTAATATGCTTGTATTTTGTATTTTACAAGCTGAATTGTACATTTTCATAAGTACTTGTATAATTACCTTATATATACATCTATATTTATGTGATATACCGATACTGTAGGCTGTGGTGTGTGGAGCACTAACTCACCAAGCTACAATCTTTACTTCTCATTTATACCATTAGATCTTTGATTAAATATATGCCAAAGTCATTGTGATATTGGGGGGGGTGGAGGGGGTGCTGTTTACATGTATAAAGACGTACTTTAAAGAAACTTATCAATGTTTCGTTTCACCTTTACTTAGGGTCCTGATCAGATCACAGACAATTTGTTAGCTGTGATAAAATGTTTTTCCTACAAATTATAATATATGTAAAAAGTGAGCGACTGATCACTCTAATGTTGCATTGTTATTGGTTTAGTAGCAGGTGTGTGAAGTCGGACAGCTGGCCAGACAGTGACTGGATGTTCACTGCACTGACCAGACTGTTAGAGGCCTTGAACGGACATGTCGATTGCAGAGATATAGGATACCCAATTTTTAACGAATGAGAGTGACAGCAGGTGATGTGCTATGTAATAGTGAGATGTTCAACAGAGAGTGTGAGAATGGTCGGACAGAGGTCTTCTGTCATCATTGTTACAGGTATGCATCGCCATAAAAGAGTGTTCATTAAAAAGTGAAACTGAAGCTGACCCTGTGTTGTCTTTTTGATAAAATATTTGCGTAATTGTTCTTCATAATTCATTCAATGTTAGTGAAAACAGTTTGATGTTCTTGAAGAATGTCTGAACTAAGGCTTGTGTGGTCAAAGGCTATTTGGTCATATTCAGCATTAAATGAAATTAATTTCAATGCAAGGACACCAAGAAAATTGAAGCTACGCTATTATCGTCAGATGCTACACTACTGAAGCTTATAGGCAGACCTAACTCCAGGGTGTTAAACTTCTTCAAAGTGGCATAAAGGTGTTGACGGACAAAGCGATGCAAGAAAAAAATACTGCATGTCAACAAAGCTGTAATTTGAACAATATGAATAAAACTAGTGGACAATTTGAGCAAAGAAAATATTTACGCACCATCAAAAAGGAACAAGGAAAAAAATTCAGAAGAGTAAATGTTTTCAACTTAATCGACAAGACCCACCCTGTTTATCTTGATCAAATATATATAAAACTATATAAAACTTTTTTCAAATATCATCAGAGATTGTGTGTCCATCTGCCTGTTTGTTCGTCCATCACCACTTGTATTTCCGGAGATTATTTCAGAATCCAAAAGACTAATTTGTCTGAAATTTGACCAACGGTGATGCACTGCGAAATGCAGATTTTAAAAATTTTGAATGTCAAGGTCACTGTTACTAAAAATAGATCACGGAGGTATGGTTTTTTATCATATTGGAGATACAAAAGGCTGATCTTTTCCCAAATTTGACTTGGTGATGCCCTATGATACGTAGATGGGCGATAGGGGGTTAAAAGCTTTAAAGGTCAAGGTTATTGATGCTTAAAATGGATCATGTGGGATTGGGTACAGTCAAGCAATGATCATGACTGGACCTTGCTGAACTGTTGGCGTTCTAGTTTAACCCAGATTGTAGCGCAACATGGGTCTTGGAGTTGGTTGAAACAGCATTATTAGAAGAAAATCCACATGGTAAGAAAGGTCACCTGTACCTTTTTCATCCGATCGAGGAATGGAACCCCAGCCGACTTGGTGATAGGAGAGAGTGCTATCCACTGTGCAACCCGATAACTATCCAAGTAATGTAAGGTCCTCAAAGTGAGAACCTGGGTTTTGACAATAAAACAACAGCTAGGGTACACAAGTACAACAGCTAGGTTACACAAGAAACAACAGCTAGGGTACACAAGTACAACAGCTAGGGTACACAAGAAACAACTGCTAGGGTACACAAAAAACAACAGCAAGGTTACACAAGAAACAACAGCTAGGGTACACAAGTACAACAGCTAGGGGACACAAGAAACAACTGCTAGGGTACACAAAAAACAACAGCTAGGGTACAAAAGAAACAACAGCTAGGGTACACAATTACAACCGCTAGGGTACACAAGAAACAACAGCCAGGGTACACAAGTACAACAGATAGGGTACACAAGAAACAACTGCTAGAGTACACAAAAAGCAACAGCTAGGGTACACAAGAAACAAAAGCTAGGGTACACAAGTACAACAGCTACGGTACACAAGAAACAACCGCTAGGGTACACAAAAAACAACAGCTAGGGGACACAAGTACAACATCTAGGGTACACAAGAAACAACAGCTACGGTACACAAGTACAACAGCTAGGGTACACAAGAAACAACAGCTAGGGTACACAATTACAACAGCTAGGGTACACAAGAAACAACTGCTAGGGTACACAAAAAACAACAGCTAGGGTACACAAGAAACTATAGCTAGGGTACACAAAAAACAACAGCTAGGGGACACAAGAAACTATAGCTAGGGTACACAAAAAACAACAGCTAGGGGACACAAGTACAACAGCTAGGGTACACAAGAAACAACCGCTAGGGTACACAAAAAACAACAGCTAGGGTACACAAAAAACAACAGCTAGGGTTCACAAAAAACTACAGCTAGGGTACACAAGAAACAACAGCTAGGGGACACAAGAAACAACAGCTAGGGTACACAATTACAACAGCCAGGGTACACAAGAAACAACTGCTAGGGTACACAAAAAACAACAGCTAGGGTTCACAAAAAACTACAGCTAGGGTACCCAAGAAACAACAGCTAGGTTACACAAAAAACAACAGCTAGGGTACACAAAAAACAACAGCTAGGGGACACAAGTACAACAGCTAGGGTACACAAGAAACAAAAGCTAGGGTACACAAGTACAACAGCTAGGTTACCCAAGAAACAACAGCTAGGGTACACAAGTACAAAAGCTAGGGTACACAAGAAACAACAGCTAGGATACACAAGAAACAACAGCTAGGGTACACAGGTACAACAGCTAGGGTACACAAGAATCAACCGCTAGGGTACACAAAACACAACAGCTAGGGTACACAAGAAACAACAGCTAGGGGACACAAGAAACAACAGCAAGGGTACACAAGTACAACAGCTAGGTCACACAAGAAACAACAGCTAGGGTACACAAGAAACTATAGCTAGGGTACACAAAAAACAACAGCTAGGGTTCACAAAAAACTACAGCTAGGGTACACAAGAAACAACAGCTAGGTTACACAAAAAACAACAGCTAGGGTACACAAGAAACTATAGCTAGGGTACACAAAAAACAACAGCTAGGGTACACAAGAAACTACAGCGCGGATACACAAGAAACTACAGCTAGCGTACACAAAAAACAATGGCTAGGGTACACAAGAAACTACAGCGCGGGTACACAAGAAACTACAGCGCGGATACACAAGAAACTACAGCACGGATACACAAGAAACAACAGCTAGGGTACACAAGAAACTACAGCACGGATACACAAGAAACAACAGCTAGGATACACAAGAAACAACAGCTGGGATACAAAAGAAAAAACATTCGGCACACAAGAAATACCATATTGGGTATATAAGAAACAACAGCTAAGTTACCGTTACACAAGAAACAACAGCTAGAGTACACAAGAAACAACAGATAGGGTACACAAGAAACAACAGCTAGGGTACACAAGAAACAACAGCTAGGATACACAAGAAAAAACAGCCAAGTTACCGTTACACAAGAAACAACAGCTAGAGTACACAAGAAACAACAGATAGGGTACACAAGAAAAAACATTGGGCACACAAGAAACAACAGCTAAGTTACACAAAAAACAACAGCTAGGATACACAAGAAACAACAGCTAGGATACACAGGAAACAACAGATAGGGTACACAAGAAACAACAGCTAGTATACATAAGAAACAACAGCTAGGATACACAAGAAACAACAGCTAGGTTACACAAGAAACAACAGCTAGGATACACAAGAAACACCAGCTAGGTTACACAAGAAACAACAGATAGGATACACAAGAAACAACAACTAGGATACACAAGCAACAACATAGGTTACACAAGAAACAAAAGATAGGGTACACAAGAAACAACAGCGCGGATACACAAGAAACAACAGTTAGGATACACAAGAAACAACAGATATGGAACACAAGAAATAACATATTTGCCACACAAGAAACAACGGATATGGTATACAAGAAGCAACAGATAGGGTATACAAGATGCAACAGATAGGATACACAAGAAATAACGGCTAGGATACACAAGAAACAATATATTGGGCACACAAGAAACAACAGATAGGGTATACAAACGCAATTAAGTTTTCATGTAGTCTCGATGTAAGCTGATCCAGCTTCTTGAGGCGCATCTTGATACTGTTCTATATTTGTGTCCGGTTGTGAGTGACAAGTAGGTTCTAATTTTTGGTGATGATGACGCCATTGATTGTTTAGCCGGGATTTAAAATTACTCAAGGAGGGGGCCTCTACAACTATATTTGGGAGAGAGTTCCACACGTCCACGACCCTACTACTGTACAGGTTCTTGGTTATGTTGAGCCTCATCCTTCTCTTGAAAAGTTCTTTGAAGTTTCCTCTTGTTGTGACCAATGTAGTCATTTTAATAATTTTGTCTTTGTCCAAAATGTCAATGTCATTGATGGTTTTATAGATTTGTACGACATCTCCTCTCAATCTTCTGTATTCTAAACTGGAGAGGCCCAGTGTACAACGTCTTTCACTGTAGGATTGTCCTTATAAGAATGGTAGGCGTCTTGTTGCCCTGCGTTGGACATTTTCAATGACAATTTGATCATTTTTAAACATTGCAAATGTGGCCGCACTAACTTTTAAACAAGGGGATAAACATGTATTTGATTATAAATGTGAATGTCCAAAATGTCACTCCAAGGATACTGATGGCTTTGGAGTCACACCCGTTTACATGATACCACTCCCAACTCCTTTTCTTTGCTCACTTTATCAATGGTTATTTCATATCGTCCTGGAGTGTATTTCTGTCATCGTCCTTAAGTAAAGTGTCACCAAGAACATCGATATTCATACACAAGGAAATATCTTGTTCTCAAAATTAGATCGTGTCAACAATAAAACCATAATCTTTAGAACATCAACCTGTATAAATAAAAAACCTGTTTAGTTAAGTTTGTCCGTCAGCAGTTGACATCTATCACGGAAGTCCTGATTCTCGACTCAAGCTCTTAGATACCGAATCAAATGCGTGTAGGTATGGTTGTTATCAGGAAAGAGGAAGTTCACAATAGGAAAATCAAATCACTTGCGCTTGTTCTACAACTTAGAGGCAAATCGTCCCTGTTGGTTATGTTTTAAGTAAACATCGAGGAAAGCGGCTAACGTAGAAGTGTGTGATCGATGTGGTCAATACAGAACCTGTTATTTGAAGAAAGCACATTGTCGGTATATCTGAAAGTCAAATTGAAGGTCTTTGCAAAGCATTTATAGCAAAGTCTTGATAAGCTCTTCAATAAGTCCAGACAAGTCGGTCAGTAGACGGGGACGGTTTGTTCTCATACGAATGCCTACTGTTTGCTGGTAAATCACGCCACAGAACTTTACAAAAAACATTGTCAGCAAGGAACTCAATCATTTTTGGTATTTGTCAAGTTTATTTCACGAAATATGCTCCACAA